GCACAGAAATGTTGTTGAAGAAACAATGGCAGAGAACTTCCCAAACCTGGGGGAAACTTGGACATTTAAGTGCATAAAGCTGAAAGTCACTCCACTATTTCAACTCAAGATCCACTATAATAAAATCATCTAAAGTCAATGACAAAGGGAAAATTCTAAGGCAAGAAAAGAAAAAGGACCTCAACTTACAAAGGAACTCCCAGTAGGATTTTGGTGGATTTTTCAGCAGAAACCTTGCAAGCCGGAAGAGGTTTGGATGATATATATTCAAAGTGATGAAAGAAAAAAATTGCAACTAAGTATAATCTATTACCAAGGTTGTCCTTTAGAACTCAAGAAAACATGAAGACTTTTTCGTACAAACAAAAACTAAGGGAGCTCATCCTTACTACCACTGAGTTGCAACAAATGCTGAGAGCAGTCCAAGCAGAAATAGAGATTAAAAATATGAAAATATATAACACACTAATACATGTAAACACACAGTCAGATTTGAAAAAATAATTATGTAAAATAATATAATGCTATGTTAACCACTTAACTCCAACTTAAATGTTAAAGGGCAAGAGTACAAAATTGACTAAAACAACCATAACTTTTAATGAGTAGACAATATAAAAAGAAGTAAATTGCAGCGTTGGATATAAAAGGATTGAGTGGAAGGGCTGAGTTTTGTATGTAATGATCTCACCTTTAACAGGAAGCTAAACAACAAAACAAACAAGCAAGCAGAAAAAAAAAACCAAAGACACTGAAATAGAGAACAAGGGGACAGTGACCAGAGGGGAGAGGGAAGGGAATTTAAGGGGAAAAAAAGGAGGGATTTGGAGGAACAAATAGGAAGGACACAGGGACGAGAACTAAGGGGGGTGGAAATGGGAGGGAGGTGGGGAGCACGGGACGGGGGAGGCTGGGATGGGAGAAATAGACAAAAAACTGTACTTGAAAAATAATTAAATAAAAATTTTAAAAATAATAATAATAAATAAATAAAGAGAAAAAAAGAAATATTGTTTACAAAAAAAAAGAAAGTCGAGTAGTTTCAGCATACTATAGATTTACATCTCTAAGTGGATTTATGCAATACTCATGGTGACCACAATGTAAAAAAACCTATAGTAAATTCGTGAAAGATAAGTGAAGGAAATCAGAGTATATGACCTTGAAAAATCACCAATTAGCAAAGAACAAGAGTAAGAGAAGAACAAGATAATTACAAAACAGCAAGAAAACAATAGTATGGCATTAGTAGGTCTTTATACATCAAAAAATACTCAAGGCAAATGGATTCAACTTGCCAATCAAAACACACAAAGTGGCTGGTTGGATTTAGAAAGCCCTAAGGTCCAAGTATATGTTGCGTGCTGGAGACTCACCTTGCTTTAAGGACAGACATGAGCTCAGACTGAAAGAATGAGAAAAGATACTACACGAAAGTGACCAATGAAAGAGAGCAAGCCTGGCTCCCCTTGTATCAGACAAAATAGATTTTAGTTCAAAACTGGTAGGCCTTCGGTTTCCACAAACACCAGTTTTCAGGCATCACTGCCCTGTGCATACTTAAACAACCTCCGACCCTGGCCCACAGAACACCTGGATGGCACAGGGGGACACCACGCCTCTGCTCCTGACAGAGGGCTGGACATGCACCTGTCTGTGGAGGACACAGCATCCTGTCCGCACCCCAGTCTTCCATCAGTTATGGCTTAAATGTCAGTCACAACTGAGCTGGGCACAGGAAACTTTCTCCAAATAGACATACTGAGAGCTGTGCCCAAAGTCAAACTGGTAGCAGTGGGTCCAGAAAACTTGTATATAGGGTTGGGGTGGGGATAGCCCTCAGGGACTGGGAATTAGAGCCCAAAGGAGACCTGCTAACTGCAGCTTTTTACTCATTATCTCCAGGGATCACCATTTCTGCTGCGGGGGACAAATGCTGGTATCTCTGCTGGGTGGCCAGCTGCCTGTGCAGGCCACCTGCTCAAAATCTGCCCTACCCCCCATGAGCCCTTCTCTTCAGCTCCAAGATCAGTTGTGTCCCCCCTGACCTTTGGCTCGAATCTCAGGCATAAACCTACCATAGATATTCACAAATAACATCTTTTACAAGCCATCCTGGGATGCAGTTTCCTTTCTCTCTCTCTCTCCATTTGGGAAGGCTCTGCTTAGATGGAATAAAGGGGTGCTGGGGGGCAGTGTGGGGCTCCTTCAAGGAGGATGGGGCACAATGAAGGGGTGGCAGCAGAGGAACCTAGGAGGCCCCCATTAGTCAGGGCTCACATCCTCTTTAGGGGCCTCCAAGGACAAAGAGCCTCCCTGCTACCTGAGCCATATCTGGCTTTTCTTTTCCTGCACATCCAGGGTGTCTGGGTGTAGAAAAGCAGGGGAGGGCTGGGAGAGTATGCACCAGAACTCCTCTCTCTCTTCCCTTCACCCCCATTCCCCTCCATCACTGCTTGTCCATGGTGTCCTGGGAGCAATGCCAACTGTCATCCCTGACCCAACCGTGGAGGCACTCGTCACATGGCAACTACAACAACAGACATAGCTGCCCTGGGACAATCTACCCAGTAGGACAACCCTCCGTCCACGGAGCAATCATGACACCCTGGTGGTTGCACTGGCTTCTTTCAAGCCAGTACTGGAAACCTGGACATCTATTGCGAAAAGGCAGGTGCTGCCAACAGAATGCTTGGCAACAGGGTCACTTGCCACAGTCCGGCCGCAGCTGGATCCAGGGGTTCCTGAAAGGCGGGTAAGGCATCGGCGATGGGAGACGGACAACAACACGACTCAGAGGACGGTGAAGCTCTGTTCCGTTTATTGCAAGTACAAGCAGGTTTTTAATTTTCATTTTTGGTAGTGATTAATATTTGCGGTTAGGCAAAGCAGGAAATTTTCTACCCGGATATTTTAAATCAATTAGAAATAGCTGTATGTACAGAGTTTGAATGTCTTATTGTTTATTAAAGTTCTCAGAATTTGTCATGGGGCAAAAGGATACACTAGATTGAGTAAAGGTTATAGGAAATTTATTATAAGGCCTTTGTGATGTCTAACTTAGCTATCTATCTTTTCTCTCTAAAATGTGTCTCTATGTACTATGGACCCTGACTGGTAATTACTTCTGTGTGCTTAGTTTGTAACGGCTAACCAGCTTCTCTTATTTCTTTGCCTGTCTAATCCTAGTTGATATATATTCCTATTCAAGGTAAAGGAGGGGCCGTTACTCCAACAACTTTTAGACATTCAGGGGCTATTTCATTAGAGGGGATTTTGTTCTCTGGTCAAGAAATTATTTTGTACAACTTCATTGGAATTATGCAAATCAATGAACCTGAAATACAGGTGTCAAATAATCCCACCACCTTTTGGTCACCAAAACAAACATTTAAGGAGAAATAGACAAGAAATCCAGCCACAATTGCCTCTGCCTTGCAGATGCAGTTACTAGGGGGCTTCTCTGCCTTTTGCATTGCAACAGTCCAGCTACAGGGTGGAGGTTCTAGGCTCCCTGGGCCCCACGGAACTGATTCCAAAACTGGCTCTGCCTCCTGGGGGTCAGGAAACCTTGGGTCAGCTGCTTAATTTCCAGGAGATTTGATTTATGCCACTGTCAAATGAGACAGAATGTCACAGGGTTCAGGAGGGCTTTCCACACAGCAGCTACACACATGCATAGATGTTATCTTTTGTGCTGGTCATGTCCTGGGGTGGGGAGAACTTCTGGTCTAGCTGTTGTCTCCATTCATTCATTCATCCACTCATTCATTCTACAAACACCCAGGAGCACTTTCATATGCCAGGCACCAATTCTGGATGAGCAACTCAGGGGCGTGCTGGGCTGTTGAGTGCTGAGCTTGCCGTCTGGCTGTTTGGATAAAGTCTATAGCAGCTGGGGAGAACAGAACAAAATGAGACATTGACTATTATAAAACCAAAAAGAAGATATATCCAGAGTATAAAAATATTCCTCTTTCACAGGTTACCTATGGTTATCCTTTCATAACACACATTCTGTCTGATAATTTTTGTTAAAACTTGATTTTATATTAAAATCTGTTTTTCATTCATCATTTCTCCATTCTAAAACTCAATGAAAATTGTTTTCAAATGTGCCACTCCCAAATGTTTTCTGTATAAGTTATTTCACAATTGAAATGTGTTCTTTTACTGTGCTTTTATTATTAAATGTTAAAAACAAGTAAAACTATTTCCATCTCTTTCTGCTGAGCTAAGATCCATATATTTCAATTGCATTGTCATTGCTTACCCAGTACACCAGGGGCTGTGCTACATCAGACCACTAAAGAGGGAGCTAACACATATTCATTTAACTACAGTACAAGGGTAAGGAAGCAAAAACCATCAAAACCTGAAGTTTTGAACAAATGTACTCCACTTATGATGGAATAAACTGAAAAGCACACTGTATAAAGACTACGTTATGAAAAAATGTTTTAAAGAATAAAGCTATTGAATTTGGATGTATTTTTAAAGAACCAGGGAATGAGTGGCTTTCACTCTTATACAATTTGAGACCTGAACAATTTAATAGTCAAACTCTCCTTCAGGTAAATGTAAAGAGACTATTGGTATAAATGTATTTTCACTTAGCTATCATAGCAGTTAACAAGATAAATGTAAATTTCCCATTAAGTATAATTTCCATTTAGAGCCCAAAACATTAGCATCTGTTACACAGAATATATTTAGAATCTTACTATTTGGTGTTAGTCATCGTAAGTGGTGATAGTGGTCTTTTTTTTCTAAGTGCGCTTTGTGTTCTGTGAAAAATAGGCATGGCTCTTTAAATTATTTTTCCCACTTGGCTCCTCTGTTAAAAAAAAAAAAAGAAAGAAGAAACTGCTTGCCTCTCTGATAAAGGATACAGATAGTGAAACCTGAGGCTTAAATGTGAACTATTTTCTCACATCTTCATGTGTAGGTGAGCGGTACCGAAGGCTCTTGTGAAACCAGGGCAGAAAACACAAGGAGCCCAGAAGAATCACCTTCTTCTCCAGAACACCAACATCCAGTCCATCCACCTACAGAGGCTCACCTCTTCTATTTGGACCAGACTCCACTGAAGCGAAAAGTCTACTGCACTGACACAGGTATCGCCAACTAGATCTATAGCTATGGTTCTCAGCGCATATCACTGTTATTCCTGCCACTTGATTCCTATACAGAGCACTTGATTTAACATTTCTTGATTTAACATTGAATATAACTGATTGTTCTTTAGTAAATGTTTCAATATATCTGTTGGATTAATCAAATGCATTAATAGAGCAAATGGGCATAGTAATTGGGACAGAATATGAGTAATAAAATAATTTATATTTTTTTAATTTTACTTGTTTCTATAGTAATAAGTTCCTTTAGTTCACATCCATCCCTAGATTTTTTTAATTTATGTGATATAGGTCCACATTTCTGATATATTGCAGACTTGGTAAAATTTTTTTTAAAATGTTATAAATATATTTCTGTACAATCATGTTTTCCATGAGAACTTATCTTGTGGGGAAAATGAAATGTCATAAGTGAAAATTATCAGCACACAGAGGCTTACATTTTTCATCATGTTGTAAAAGAAAACTGGAGCTTTATGCTGAGGAAATAAAAATATGCAAAAAGTGTTTAAATGGATGGTACACTGGGAAATTAGTGAGCATTTTCATTTTTTTCTGTACTCAGAATTCTATTCCATGTAAATTTCTTTGTTTGACTATTTCAATAATATTTAAAATACTTGAAACAAGTTAAATAAATTTTTAACTTTTGCTGGTAAAATTATTATTTCAAGCAGGGTTAGTTGCTCTTTTAACTTATGCATTCATGTTTTGTGGGCATAAAACAACTCACCCCTAGGAGTACAGATTAACCAATTTGTGTCCTAATTGTAGGACATTCATTTTTTTTTAAAGATTTTATTTATTTATCTTTAGAGGGGAAAGGAAGGAGAGAGGGAGAGAACTGGCCTGCAACCCAGGCATGTGCCCTGACTGGGAATCGAACCGTGGTTGCTTGGTTCCCAGGCCCGCGCTCAATCCACTGAGCTATACCAGCCAGGGCAGGACATTCATTTTTAATACCCTGTTGGAAGAGATGGCAACAATCTCTTATGATCTATAGGAAGCAAATGTCTTTGAGTCAGTAATAAAAAATAAAAATGAATACAAAGAAAATACTAGGAGAGATCACAAAGGAGATACTTTCTAATAATCCATATGTGACATGGTACATTTCTAAAATACAATTGACTCATAAAAATTTTGCTGGAATTTTCTGGGTAGGGGCAATTTTAAATGTAGTATAAATATTTCATTGATCATAGCATCGTTAAACTTTTAAATTAAATTAATTAGCACAGTAGTAGAAGTCCAAGCATAGCTGGTAAAATGACAATACCCAAGTATGTAAAGAAAAATGGTAACTGATTATTTAAAGAAGAGGGAAAAGGTAATAATCTTAGGCAAAAATCTTTCTTGAAAAAAATTTCAGAAGTAAAATCATTCATCAGAAGATGAATATACTGATTTTAATTATACACTCAGTCTAGAAAGGACTGAACCTGAAAACTAAGGTCTTTAAAAAACTGTCAAATTGTCTCTTTTAGAATTGTATATCAAAATTTTTCAGATGAATGAAAAGAACACAACATACGTATATTTGAAACATCTTCCTTCCAAAAAGGCCATGCCAAAAGAAAGTGAGTATTTTCCCCAATCCTTATTAAATTCTGTTATTTTCTTTTCTTGTTAAATAATTTCATTAAAGATTTTCATTATAATTTAGCACATGACACATGTCTAACTTATTGTTAAGATTTTGTCATTTGAAAGATGTACCTGATGGACTTCAACTAGAAGGAAGAAAACAATTCCATAGATTTTTTTTATTTGGTAAAAATCTTATTCTGTCAACTCTCTTCACATATATTAATAGCTGACAGATTTTGTAAGAAATAATGTGAATATAAAGAAGTAACCACATCTCTGTTTTAACTTCTAGAGATAAAAGGGCCACCAATTTACTCAGAAGTGAAAAATACTACTTCAAACTCCAATCAGACAAAGATAACAAGAAATAAATCATCTAAAAGAAACGGTAATGTTTATGAAGAGGGCCTCAATTACATGTCCTCTAACTGCGCAGCCTATGCGCATGTAATTCAAGTGAGTTCAGGCAAAAACCGCTTCTCTGAAGAACTGAGTTAGTCTGCCCACTTTCACAAGGCTTTTAAAACCATATTTTAGATCTATACTGCTTCAGAAAAAGCAGAGAGGAAAATAAAATATCTGCATTTAGTATATTCCAGGGAATTAATGTAGTTTGGGTGCTGTGTACAGATGTACATAACTGAGCAAGTCAGGTAGGAAAATAATTTCTCTTCAACTTGTTTAGAAACAGTTGTAAATCTCCTGATGTCACTATCCCTCATTCTACAAAGTTGCAAAGAACAATATTTGATAAACATCATTTGATACATGTTTGGGATTATAATTTCCTCTGTGCAGTAGCTGTGGTTAATCCTAATGTAGCTGAAAAAGTTCTTTTTTTATTGTGTGATCATTTTATAAATAAAAATGAATTAATTTTTTTAAATAAAAAATGAAGAACAGTAGTAAGGGCAGCTCCATAAGAAAACTGTTGTATGTATGCAAGCTTATGATACATCCAAAATAAGAAAAATCATCTAATGGTGGGTCAATAAAAGTGATGTATGCAGATATATTTTAGAAGCATATTCACAATTTTAAGCTATCTATATATCTAATATTCCACTTTCTATTCATGAATCACTGAGTTGATGCAGGGATTATTTTGGTAAAGGTAGAATAAGTGACTTCCCCAAGGGAAACAGAGTAACAGAATAAGGAGCAAAATCCATGCATCCAATTATCCATTCAATGTTGTTTCAAATTGGTCAGTATCCCTTCTAATCAATAATTCCAAGTTTGAAGACATTTAAGAGTTAGGGACTTAAATTTCTAGAAAGTCTCCCTCTAACTTCCACTCCTTAATTCAGTCTTGTCCTTGCTGAGTTACTCGATCTTTCTTTTTTCTCTCTGAGCAGCGCCTTCTGTTACCTGGTATCTCACTGTAGTGATTCTTGGAATCTTCTGTTTCTTCCTCCTCATAACAACTGGAACTTTGGGACTCATGGGTAAGTTCAACCAGCCCTGTGGGCTGAACTAAATATCTCTTCCCTTAGCACTTACCTTCTCTACTAGTATTTCTTTCCTACTACTTCCATTGCTATGATCACCATTTCAACCCAGGAAACCCTTCCATCTTCAGCTCTAAAGCAATCACTTGGGCTTTTCAAAGTTCTTTAAAACTTCTGACGTCTCCTTTATTCAAAAATGCTGGGTCATATTCAGGATAATTCCAGAAAAGCTACATTGAGGTTTTGTTGATGATCGATTATGCTGTGTGAACATCGATTTTCACTCTCCTCTCTGACACTGTCTTTCAATAAGTGGTCAAGTCCCCTTGCTTTTACCTTTGAATCTTCACTCTGCATCTCAAATTTACTTTTTAAATTGTTTATTCTTGTAAAGGCCCACTACAACACAATGATATTTTTTCTCTATACTATGAAATTGCCTCCTAAACTATCCTAAACTCAATGGACTTCAAAATTCTGTTGAAATTACCAAATATTCTTCTCTAAATACATTTCTGGTCAAGTTATCAAGACACTAAGAACTCACTCTGGCTGATATGGTTCAGTGGATTGAGTGTCAGCCTATGAACCAAAGGGTCACCAGTTCAATTTCAGTCAGGGCACATGCCTGGGTTGTGGGCCAGGTCCCCAGTAAGAGGAGCATGAGAGGCAACCACACAAGGATGTTTCTCTCCCTCTTATTCTCCCTCCTTCACCTCTCTAAAAAGTAAATAAATAAAATGTTTTTAAAAAACACACCAAAAAATCATTAGCGATTTCTCATTCTCTAGTGAATTATGTTAAAACTCCCCTACTTATAATTGCTTTCATGATCTTAATCTTATTTCAATCAAATAATTTTAAGTTTAAAAGGCAAGGACCTACATCCAAGATTACTCTATCCAGCAAAGCTATCATTTAGAATAGAAGGGCAGGTAAAGTGCTTCCCAGATAAGGTCAAGTTAAAGGAGTTCATCTTCACCAAGCCTTTATTATATGAAATACTACAGGGACTTATCTAAGAAAAAGAAGATCAAAACTATGAATAGTAAAATGACAATAAACACACAACTATTAACAAAGAACCTAAAAAATACAAAAACAAAGGTAAACTAAGCAAACTAGAACGGGAACAGAATCACAGAAATGGAGATCTCATGGAGGGTTATCAGCAGGGGAATGGGAAGGGCATAGAGTGGGAAAAGGTACAGGGAATAAGTAGCATAAATCAGGGAATTAAGAGAGGAAAATGGGACAACTGTAATAGTGTAATCAATAAAATATATTTATAAAATTCTCATGTCCAAATTGGCTTCACATAATTCTAGATAACTTGTGTTATCCTCACATTCTCTAAGTTTCTCTGTTCCAGCACATCTGTATGCTGTTCCCAGTTCAGGACAACTCCACCTGCAGCCGGTCCCATCCAGTGAAGATAATACCCATTCCTCAAACCCACTTTATAAAATATACATGACTTTTCTAAATCTCCCATGATTATTTTCTAATTCCCTAACCAGTTGTTCATTTTCTCCTTCTAAAACCCATTCTATTGCCTTTTATCATTTTTGGCATGCAATTTTCTTCTAGATTAGGGTTTCTGTACCTCAGCATTACTAATAGTTTCATGGGGTAATTCTTTGTTAGGAAGGTTATTTTGTGCATTATAGGATATTTAGCAACAACCCTACCCTCTACTCACTTGATGATGATAGTTACATCCAAAATGCCTCCAGTTATAGCCAATGCACCCTGGAGGGTCAAATCATCCCCAGTTGAGAACCACGGCTCTGGGTCATTTTCCTCTCATGTCAGACACTATATGTGATGCAAAAATAAGTAAGCCAACAAGTCTTGCATTTAAAGCAGTTACAGTTCATTTCAGCCAGCTGAGTGTTTATATTTCTCTGCGTACATTTTTTTAAGGAACACCACCTTGTTTAATGACCATGACCTTAAGGTTCCTGGTTCACAAACCAGTCTTTGATATGTGTGTGTGAGTGACATATATTGACATATAATTGTCTTATATAATTCATCCATGTACAGTATAAAATTTAATGGCTCCATTATATTCATAGTTTGTGCAACCAACACTATAATCAGTATCACAATATTTTGTCACCCCAAAAGGATCCCTAAACTCATCAGCAGTTGCTTGCCATTTCCCTTCAAGCCAGCCAGCCTGAAATAATTACTAATCTACCTCCTATCTCTATTGATTTTCCTGTTCTGAACATTGTATAAAAGGGAATAATATAACATTTTGTCTTTTGAGACTGGCTTCTTTCACTGAATATAAAGTTTCCATGGTTCATTCATAATGGCAATGTCTGATAAATGTCATTTATCAGTCTGGCAATGCTTTAAGTTGACAGAAAAAGTATTTTTTGCATGGATATAATTTATCTGCATATTAATCTCTTATCAGATGTTAAATTTGCAAATATTTTCTCCCATCCTTTCAGTTACCTTTTCATTGTCTTGATAATAACCTTTGATGCACAAATGTTTGTAATTTGGATAAAGTTCAGTTTATCTACTTTAACCTTGGTTGCTTGTACTTTGGGTGTCATGTCTAAGAAACCATGACCTACTTCAAGACCACACAAGTTTACACCTATGTTATCTAATGGGAATTTTATAATTTTATATCTTACATTCTCACAATTTATCCATTTTGAATTCACTTTTGTAAGTGTTGTAAGATAAATATGAAATATCTTCGCATTTCTTTTTTTCTTTTTAAATTTATTTATTTGTTTATTTATTTAGTTATTTTTCAAGTGCAGTTTTCTGTTTATTTCTCACATCCCAGCTCACCCCTCCCCCATGCACCCCAACTCCCTCCCATCTCCACCCCCCCTTAGTTATTGTCCCTGCATCCTCCACACTTGCTCCTCCAAATCCCCCCCATTTCTTCCCCCTAAATTCCCTCCCCGCTCCTCTCCAGTTGCCGCCTCCCACTCCCTGCCTCAGAGTATTTGTTTTCACCTTGCCCACCTGTCTGTTTTGTTGTTTAGCTTCCTGTTAAAGGTGAGATCATATGGTATTTGTCTTTCAACCCCTGGCTTAGTTCACTCAGCATAATGCTTTCCAGTTCCATCCATGTTGTTGCAAAGGGTAGTAGCTCCTTCTTTCTCTCTGCTGCATAGAATTCCATTGTGTAAATGTACCACAATTTTTTGATCCATTCATTTACTGACGGGCACCTAGGTTGCTTCCAGCTCTTGGCTATTGTAAATTGTGCTGCTATGAACATTGTAGTGCATAAGTTCTTTGAAATTGATGTTTGGGGGTTCTTAGGATATAATTCTAGCAGTGGAATTGCTGGATCAAAAGGCAGGTCGATTTTTATTTTTCTGAGAAAATTCCATACTGTTTTCCATAATGGTTGTACCAGTCTGCAATCCCACCCCACAACCTCTCCCTCATTTGTTATTGGTTGCTTTGTTTATGATGGCCATTCTGACTGGCGTAAAGTGGTATCTCATTGTGATTTTAATTTGCATCTCTCTGATAGCTAGCGATATTGAGCATTTCCTCACGTGTCTCTGGATATCTTCCCATTTCTTTGTTTTCTTTTTAATTTTTCAGCAATGCTGTTTAGTTTTTAGAGTACATATTTCACACTATCTTATCAAGTTTATTCCTGAGAACTTTATTATTTCCGATGCTAATATAAATTGCATTTTTCTTAATTTTGTTTTCACATAGTTGTTACTGTAGAGAAATGCAGTTGATTTTTGTATATTGCTCTAATACCATACAACATTGTAGTTCATTGGTTCTAATGATTTTTAGTGGATTCCTTCATATTTTCCATGTAAAATGTGTGGGTAGTATTGTGTCATATCCTGGATAATTTAACTAACTAGCACTTCAAGTACAGTGTTGAACAGAAGTGGTGATAGTGTACATGGGCA